GACGGCCCCCCGTCAGCGATAGTCCTTTCCTGACGGGACTATCGCTGACGGCGTATCCTTGACGGGACGCCGTCAGCGATACTTATCGCTGACGGGAATTGGGGCATCGCTGACGGGAATGCCCGTCAGCGATACATGATTTTCCACTAGTGAGATGAGCGACTTACAGGACGCGCTTAATGCACAGAATTTAGAGAAGACCATCATGGGCCAAGAGAGACCACCTAAATATGAAGAGTCGGTATGGGAAAAGATAAATAGGAACGCTTGTGGGGTGATCAGGTCCTGTTTGGAATAGGAGTTGAAGTATGATGTGATTAGGGTGACGTCTGTAATGAAGATGTGGGAGATTCTCAACAATAAGTATCTGTCGAATAGTGTTGAGAACTGTTTGCACTTGCTACGAAGATTATTTAGATTTTAGATGTTCTGAGGCACCTCACTAGCGGCTCATGTGAACAACTACACCAAGTTATTGTCGGACTTAGTGAATGTTGATGAGAAGATATCAGATGAGTACAAGGTGATTATTTTGTTGGGCTTCTTACCAGATGAGGAGTATGATACTTTCATGCTCACTCTGTTGAATGAGAGATCTTCTATCAGCTATAGTAAAGTTACTAACGTTTTAACGAATTATGATTTAAGGAGGAATGATAAGGAGACTTTCCGCGCTAGCACTTCAGGAGAGGCATTGTCGACGAGAGGTAGAAGCCCATGTTAGACCCTAGAGGGGGGTGATTAGGGTCTTATGCTAATCTAATCCGATTAAATGCCAATTAAAATTAATTAACAAGTTATCCTAGCAAGTATGAAATATAACAAAATATATAAGCTAGGATAAGCAATATGAAGTAAGGGATATATCCTATATGATAAAAATGTATATGCAAGGATATGTAAACTAACACAAGGGGTAAACCATATGAACTAGATAGTGGATCATATAAATAAAGAGCTATGTACAATGGCGATGAGAAATATGAACACAAGTATAAATAAACGCCAAAGCACACTCAAACACAAGATATGATCACGGAGTTCGGACCTTCTGTCCTACGTCTCCGCTCCCCACTCCCGGGGAGAAATCCACTATCCCAACCGGGTTTTCTACGCTCACCCGAATAACGATTACACCTCACAATATCGGTTTTCAACGCTTACCGATCAACGTCACTCCTCACAATCGGTTTTCTAGTTCACCGAAAACTTCACAACACACTCGGTTTTCTAGCTCACCGAAAACCTTACACAACTCTCAATGTAACAAATATAAATTTATTCTCTACAATAGATGAGAACACAATGAAGCACAACTCTATGTTACAATCTCTCACAACCCTAATATACTATGTATGCAAATATAATAAGCTCAAGTGGGTGTGTGTAACAATGAGTAAATAAAATCAAATCAACTAAACTCAATTATAAAATCTAGCTTAAGAATAATGAAAATCAAACAAGTATATAAATGTAAAGCTAGAGTTTGAGTTTAGAAAACTTCTCAATTGATAACAAGATGGAGAGATGGAGATTGAAGCCCCAACAAGAAGATAATCTCCTCCACTTGAAGCCCCACCAAGATGGAGAGATGGAGATTGAAGCCCCAACATATGAGCGGTCGACCGGTGCGGTCGACCAAAATCTGATACTACAGTAAAACAGGTTTTAAAGCTGATTTTTAAGAATTTGGAAAATTGTTAAAAATAACAAATGAAGTCCAAAAATAATAAAAGTTTGGGAAATATATATAAACATGTAAATGAACATGTTACAAAAAGAATTTTCCAAATTACATTTCCCATTTGTGAAAAATCATTATTTTGCAAAATAGTTCAAAACACGAAAATGTAAACATGTGAATTTTGATATTTTGGCTAAACCATGTTTTGAAACTTTGCACAATGATTATATAGACTTAATAAAATATGTATATGATTATTGTTAAGTCTAAAAACTAAGAATATAGAATTTTCACAAAATTGCATATTCTATGCAATGTTTTCAAAAACACAATAGTAAATATAAAATATGTGATTTCATATTATAAACATGAAAACCCAAAACCATGCATGTATATGTATAACTATATATATACATAGAAAACAAAACTTATGTATATATATATAACTATATATATATACGAAGAAACCAATAAATGTGTGTGTATAGATATTGAGCTTAAAGTACTTAACACACATAATATAAAATCTAAACTAAAGTTACCCAAGCAATGATCTTGATCTTCAATTAAGCTTGACTTGGTACACTTGCGGATGAAGCTTGAACTTGATCTTTAACTTGAATTGCATGTTGCTTCACTCCACAATTCCGCCAACCTCCCATCATCAAAATAAGAAGGCCAACAATCTCCCCCTTTTTGATGATGACAAACAATTTACAAAAAGAAATATATGCATGAATACAAATGAATATATAAATTATAATTCACATGCATATAACCAAGGAAAATGTATACTCACAATATTTCTCCCCTTTTGACAACATCAAAAAAGGGGACAAAAGAATTAAGAGAGCGAAAGCTCCCCCTATCAATAAGCATAGGTGAGTATAAAAACAAACATAGAATAGGGAATAACTCCCCCTATCAAAATGCCATATAAAATATATGCAATAAAGATCATGGCAAACATATGTGAGCAAGTATAGAAGCTAAAAGCAACTCACATACAAAAGGATAATGAGAATACATATAAATATGTAAGTATGAAAAATCATATCAAAGAGTATAAAAGCCATGTATTAAAGTAGATTTATGAAATCAAAAGAAAAGGAACATGAGAATCATGCAAAATATTTTCAAATGAAAATCAACCAAATGAAATCATAAATCAAGATTTGAGTCCAAAACCAATGTTTGATCAATAAAGAAAAATTTTCTTTGTATAACTTGATCAAACTACTCATATAATACATTATAAGGCACGAATAGATAATCCATGAGTACAAACATATAAATATCATCATATAAGTAAAATATAATGAATTTAAAGCAATAAATCAAAACAAACTCTTTGACAAAAGAATTTTAAGAGAGGCAACAATATATCAAGCTCTTAAGCTTGTATCAACCCTTATAAACATTTTGGCACCCGGTGAACAATATTTGGGAATAAACACCCAATAAATCTGGAGGGTTACATAAATAAAAACCTCTCATCAAAACACAACAAATAATCATGAAAACAAAAGAATTGATAAAAAAATTTGTTTTCATATA